TTAAAGTACTGAAAGTCTGCAGTAAGGTTGTTCCAGAGCCTTCTCTTCTCCAGGCTAAACCCCCCCAACTCTCCCAGCCTCTCCCAGCAGAGGGGCTCCAGCCCTCCCAGCCTCTCCGGGGCCTCCTCTGGTCCCGCTCCAACAGCTCCGTGTCCTTCTGCTGTTGGGGGCCCCAGAGTGACAAAGCTGTCTGTGCCACTGCCGGCGCGGGGCTGGAGGGGACAGCAGCAGCCGCTGAGCCCGTCCCAGCACACGCTGCTCCTCTGCCCAGGCATGAGGCACGGCCCAGGCCCGTCTGCCGGCCCAGAGGACACACCAACCCTTCTCCTCGGCCAGCTGCACCTAGGTACAGGGTGGACGGTGGTCACTGCCTGCTGCCCAGGGACCCTGGGAGTTCTCAAACTCATCTTGGTGCCGACCTCACTCTGAATTTGAAAGATGCTCTCTGGAGATACAAGAGCAACCCATCAACACAATGTGCCATTTAGCTCTCACCTCAGCCCTTCCCACTGGAGTTTGCTGATGAGTAACCGTCCCTTACAGATCAATGTCCCTTTTGTTTTCTGGCGTTCTTCCTTTCCTCTGCAGGATTTGCAGATCAGCAATTAACGTGTCTTTTTTTCTGTATGACTCTTCTTTATCCAACTCACTTAAAAATAAAATTTTCTTCCTCCTTACAAGTGCATGACTTGTGTAATTTCCCTCTCAGTCAACTTTCTACAAGTACTGTTCATATCCCTTCCTCTGCTCTTGTGCGCTGAACAGAATTGGTAAACAACTCTTATATTATGGATGTCACATCTATTTTCCATCTAGCTTCATTTTATCTTTCTTGAGTGGAATGTAATAGAGGCCATATAATTTACAAAACTGTTCTCCTCCTGACCTGCCGCACTTGCTCAATTCTACAGAGAATGAACAGCACTGGAAAATTTATACCTCAGCACACTTCAGAGTTTATGTTTGGGGCTATTTTTTGGAAGACTGTTTTTGTGTTACCTGCTTATATTTTAAGAAACGGATCTTTTAACTCATTTCTTTCCAAGTGTGTTAATTTCAGTAAAGAAAAAAAATCTTCATCTCTCCAGTCTGGCTCCTCTTGGACACTGCCGAGGCCATCTTCACCTACCACTGCCCACCCAAGAAACGCCTGCAGTCCCATCACCCGCCCACAGCACCATCCAGCCACGGATATACCGTCTATCTGCTCTTCTGTGTCCAAGTACGAACAGGTTACCTTCTCTTCGCAGAAACACAAGTATTGACCACCTGATTCCCTTAACAAAACCATTTCCAGTTCTCTATCCACTGCCATAAGCAACAACACTTTGCCATCCGTGACATGGGACAAACGATTCCCAAGACATACTACATCAAATTATCCAACCACAGACTGGTTTGTACATGTCCTACCACCTCCCACGAGTACAGACCAAACCACGTGCCAGAACAGGTGTTAAAAAAAAGTGAAATACTCACAGATTTTTCTATTTACCCGAGCAAGCGAAGCTTCAGTTTTCTAGACAAAGTCCTCAACCCTCCCACTGACAGCAGCAGGCTGTCTTTGTGACCACGTATAACGTCTTTGTGAACACCAAGTAGGGATTAGCACTTTCTGATAAGTGTATGAACATAAACTACAGATTTACGCTCTGCTAACACACAGCCTTACGTAGCGCAGCACCTGCGCCAGCAGCAAGCTCTGCGCCGACAACGACTGCAAGGCAAGGAGCTCTCTGCTCCGATGCTGTGGGTATGGTCCTCCTTGGAAAGACGGGAGTCATTTTCTGCTTATGAAACGGTCTCTGTGCAGCAAATCAGAGCAGAAATGTTCTATCGTAGCGAAAGCCCGCGGCGCAAGCCCACGCCCGGCTCCTCAACGCAGCAGGAACAGCCCCGGACAGACAAAAGCTCCTTACCTCAAAGCAGTAGTCCTGTCCCAGGATGCTGCTGTGGACCGGCTTGATGACCACTTCTTCCTCCATGCTGAGATCCAGAGCCTCAACAGCACTACTGGGACTGAGCAAAGACTCGTGGGAGCGCGATTCTTTCAGCCTCGGCATTAGATGGGATCTAGAGGAAAAACAGAATGCTATCAGTGGATGCTTTGCTTCCCCGAGACATTATTTAGTCCATGTGTTGGCAACAACCGCAAGATGTTCCTGGGAAGTTTTTGCCATGAGATAACCGAGGGCCCAGAACAGCAGGGGCTGCTGCCCTGTCCCATTTATAATTTGGTGAGCAGGTTCTATTACAGCCTTTATGTTCGGTAAAAACGTTTTTTTCCCTAACCCCGATGCAGTCAGGACGGCACTATTAGAGGTTTGCAGACTGTGGGTCTCTGCACAGCCGAGCATGTCTGTAAACGGCCATCACACCTACTGTGTGGGACTGCCCGGGTGTGCCGCGGTGGCAGCGGGCGAGGGAGGCCAGCCAGACCCAGCCCCAGCCATTCTGCTCGTCCGTACCACAGCCGCGTCTGCAGCACCCGGCGCCGAGCTCTGGCGGCACTGAGCACCCACTGCCGGCACAGGACCGGGTCTGCGCGCCAGTGAGAGATCCCGTTAGCATCCTGCTTCGTTCCATGCCGCTTCACCACACCCAGTCCCTCCCAAGAGAAAGAATTTACCTCCAAGTGGGGAGGAATTAACAACATGAAGATGCTGGGAGGGCTGGAGCCCCTCTGCTGGGAGGACAGGCTGGGAGAGTTGGGGGGGTTCAGCCTGGAGAAGAGAAGGCTCCGGGGAGACCTCAGAGCCCCTTCCAGTGCCTAAAGGGGCTCCAGGAGAGATGGGGAGGGACTCTGGATCAGGGAGGGGAGCGATGGAATGAGGGGAGATTTAGATGAGATATCAGGAATAAATTGTTGGCTGTGCGGGCGGTGAGCCCCTGGGGCAGGTTGCCCCGAGAAGCTGTGGCTGCCCCATCCCTGGAGGTGGTCAAGGTCAGGTTGGACGGGGCTTGGAGCAACCTGGGCTGGTGGGAGGTGGCCCTGCCCAGGGCTGGGGGTGGGACTGGGTGGTCTTCAAGGTCCCTTCCAACCCAAATCATTCTGTGATTCTATGACACATCCCTGTCAAACCCCAGCCCCGTGTCCACTCACCACACACCGAGGGTGCCCGGGGAGCGGGTGGCACTCCCAGTGCAGACGCCGTCCCTGCGTGTAGGTACCCTTCTCCCCACCGAAACGCACACAGCTGTATCACAGCTGCAGCCGGCGTCTGGATCCGCACGCTGTAACCAACAACCCGAGGGCTCGTGTGCTCTCTCCAATTGTCACACACATCCCCGGGATGGGGACAGCGTGGAAAATAAGGCCATGATAGCCCTATCGATTGATCTAAATGCTCTGGAGTCCCACTGGCAGCATTTAGCAGCAGGGAGCCCGCAGACAGCAAGCAGCACACCATTTTCGAGACAGCCAATACAATCAATGGTGCTGTAACTCTTAAAGCAAAACCAGAGAGCTCAAGGGGGGGGAAAAAAAAAAAAGAAAGATAGCTATGTACTCCCAGGGAAAACAGAGCAAAACCATAACGTGGCTAGAGAAAAAATAACTTGAGAGCAAAGGGAGCAGTTGCCTTCTCTACAGACCATGCCATGGAAAATGTTCCCACACAAGCCAGCTCACAAAAGCTCTGATCCCGGTAACTCTGACCTTTAAAACCTCTGGCAGCCGCTTTAGGGTCTTCCAAAGAGACCACGTGCCCCTCTGTCCACAAAGAGAGTATGACGCCTTCTTCAAAGGCACGGAAGGACAGAAATAAGGGGACTCTGAGATATTCTCAGCACAGTCTTTTATAAGCAAAACAACAATGCTCCTAGTATACTCCCAGATTGCTTTGTCTGTGTGTGTTGAGTTTTGCCGTTCTCCAGAATAAAGCTGACCAAACCGCAGAGAAATGTCAATAGTACATGCAAAATTCATCGCTCGCAGTGAATCACACGCCAAGCTGAATCTAAGAAACAGCCAAAGGAGACTCCAAGATAAACAGCAGTGGAAGATAACCAGGTGCTTCTCTAGATTTGCCATTAAGATTCACTCCATCGATGACGCCCCAGGTGATAACGCATCAGCCCGCAGCTGGGTTCTCCAGCTGAGCATGCTAAACGGACAGCCCCTCCTCCCCGGCCTGGGGACACGCTGCCCCGGGCTGCAGGGACAGCACGGCCTCCGGACACCTCCGCCGTCTGCTGTGTCCCACAGCCAGGGCCAGCTCCGGCGGCACTGGTTCTGGTCGGCAGAAAAAGAGGCAACGCCACCACGATCTCTTTCTTAGGGGACGACCACCAGCCCTGGAATGCCACAAGCCCCGGGCTGGCGCAGCCCTGCGCGGGAGCAGAGGTGGTGGCTTTGAAGCAAAAGGCTCTCTGTCCCATTAGCCGTTCTCTAAACTGCCCACTCACCCCCTATCTCTATGGTGAATAAATTGATCTTTAGGAACTGAGCACAGTTGTTTCCCAGTACTTTCTGGCAATTTTACACTATTTTCACAGAAAAGCCTCCGTATCCTTTTTCTCTGGATGATACTGTAAATTAACTCTAATACAGGCAGATGGATTGAGCCACCTCTGGATGCTGAGTGCAGAACTAATATCCAGCAGCTCAAGCACTGACAATACAGACTGCTCACCCAGCCCCGATAAGCCCAGAATCATGGCGTGAATGGCAAATCTTATTTCCATATTTTACAGATGAAACGAGAAAAGGTAAGTAACCAAGCTGAGGCTTGCGTTCTTGTTCGGACAAATATAAATATTGATAATCGGCACCCACAGCTCAGGAAGGACATCCCGTAACGCACACATGCATGTCACCGAGTGGGACTGCTTCATGCTGGCCTAAGAATTTTTGTTAAAATTAAAGCAAAACAAGTCTATTTTTCGTTTAAAACTACCGCAGCTGCAAGGCCACAGGTGGGAGTGCAGATGTACAATATGAAGAATTACCAAGGGGGAGTTTCTGAGGACATCTTATGTTCTCACCAGATTCAGCAAATGCGTATTTATATCCCTCCATACTCTGCCGTACGCCTCTGGGAATCCTAAAATTAACGGGACTTTTCTTGGGCAGGAGGTTATTTGTCAGGTTTTGCCTCGGCAGGACCCGCTCCCACGGCGTCTTTTACTCCTGAACGGCCCATCAGATCCAACCCGGGTCAGTCACAGGAACATTTTTCACCAGATGCTGCGCGGTACGGAGGGAGCGCTCCAGGTCTCAAACCAGCCCTAAAAGGCGCAGCATCTGTCTGTGTATCAAGAGCTAAGTGGGGAGATGCCATTAATTAGAGACTCTCGGAAGGAATGCGGGATCCCTCTGCCAGAAGCAGCCCGGCAGAGCAGGACGAGCGCCGCCTGCGGGAACCTCCTCGCGGGGCGATGGGCCCCATCCCCTCCCCGGCACCCCCACAGCTGCCCCCGAGGCTACGGCGCTTAGCCCGCGGCAGCCCCGCACGGTCTGGGGGGCCGCAAATGCCCCGGGGTGCCAGGAGGGCTATACACCACCAGTCTTCCAAGCACACACTGTCCTTTCCTTTTCATGCCGTGTTCTAGAGGAGACCATTGCTCACGTGTCCTTTGGTACGTAATGCATTTGCGGCAGGAGTCCGTTTACGGACAGGAGTCCCTGTCGCGGCTCCCACAGATTTCCCTTCGTATTGACAGTAAGAAAAAGGTCCTGCTAAGGCCATAAGCTGCTTCCCTGACTCGGAGGGTGAGGGCACTCTTTGTACCGAAAGGACAGCTCAGCCTTCCCCCCATTTGGGCACAGAGAACATAAACCTGCCCCACACGTGTTGCAGTGAAGCCCTCGGAGCGATAGCGTCTCTGTCTGCACTGGGCCATAAAGGACCAGGATGGCTTCGTCCAGAGACCATTTACTGGGTGAGAGGTGGCAAGTGCTAAAAAAAATAGAACCCCAAATCCACTTGCTGATGGAGAAGTGCAGAAATATTAAGCACAAGACACAAGGGCCGGACTCAGCCTGATGTGGGGCATCAGGCACCGGTGCGGCCGTGCTGGTGTGTCCCAGCTCCTGCGGGGACTTGTCTCCGTTCCCTCCAGCTCCACTCCGAGATTCACTACCCGCAGCCATGATCATAATATCACAGAATCACAGAATGGTTTAGGTTGGAAGGGACCTCAAATATCACCCAGTTCCACCCCCTGCCCTGGGCAGGGACACCTCCCCCCAGCCCAGGTTGCTCCAAGCCCCGTCCAACCTGGCCTTGAACACCTCCAGGGATGGGGCAGCCACAGCTTCTCGGGGCAAAGAGATCTCCTCTCAGGGATGCAGGCACATTTCTACCAGGGAACCCCAACAACCTGATAGCCCCAAAATGTGCGTAGCGATGCCCCCGAGGCAGCAGCGGTCACGTAAGCAGGAGACAGACACTCCTCAGCTCTGCCTGCTTCCACCCAGCGTGGTGGAGCAGCGTCCGTGGGGACAGAGATACCACAGTCCCTGTAAACTCGGGCTCTTCTTTGGCCATCCCAGAACCATCCAACACCCCAACAGGTTGGAACATCATTTGCTTACTGTGTACGCACACTTCTAAGATGACAGAGGTCCTTTGTTCAAATTTATCTCTCTACCATCACTTTTCAAACCGCTGCCCATGGGGCCATCCGACCTCTTGCTGTAATAACTCAGGGTGTATTCCAGGTCCCGTCCCGGCTTACGTGAGCTGATCAAATTCAGTTCCTACACCTTTGTTTTAATACGGTGGGCACGGCCAGCTGCCCAGAGACAGCTCATAGCACGAAACCTTCTTTCCAAAGAGCACATTCAGTTCCTTTTGCCATGGGCCCTATTTTAATCCCTTTCTACTTGCCTAAAGTTCAGTTGAAATGAAGGGGGGGGGAAATCTCATAAAAGACCACATTAGTTCTAAAGAGAAATAACATCACTGCTACCGGCGCTGACCTGGAGAGTCCTACAGAGGGGCAGCCAGGCTCTGGTTATTAAAGAAAGAAGTTTACTGCCCAAGAGCAATGAGAGCGGATTGTTGTTCTAAATAATAAAAGTCATAAAACATTACCATGTGAAGGGATGCAGTCCCCCTCTGCCTGCT